TATATAAACTTGAATGAAAGATTATCGAAAAATGTGTTTAAAGTAATGGTTTATATAACCTTAAACCAAATATAGTATAGTTATGGTGATAAAAAATCCTTCCAACCTACAACTGTCAGCTTAATTCTCTTCTCTTTAACTCCAGCCATGTTCTTAACGACGCAGATAAAAATGCCGGCATCAATCTCCTTGGCCTTCACAATGTCAAGGTCGCCAATTTCACTGAGTATGTATCGACTGTTGGTGTGCTTCGTGATGACTTCGTTGTTCTTCTTCCAGGTGAAGTTGATGTGGGGCTGTTGTTTCCTGGGCTTGCACGGCAGACGCACTGACTCACCGAGACCGACTTCAAACTCCAGCACTGAGTCGTCCAGCGTTGGTGGCTCTGTGAGAAAAATTGAAATTACACGTTTTTGAAATTCTAATAATTTAGTAATTAAATAAAGTAGCCAGGATAAAATCTCGAAATTGCGACAAAGTCAACTAACCCATGACCACCAGGTCCACCAGAAGCGTGGCTTTACCAACGACGTTTGAAGCCACGCACGCGTACTCACCGGCGTCTTCACTTTTAACCTTCCTCAACAACACGTGACCATCGTTCTTGAGAATGACCTTGTAAGATAATTTTAAAGTTTCTCCTCTCCACGTCCAAATTTTTTCCGGCTTCGGCACACCGGCGCTGACGTCACAGACTAGTAACACGTCACTCCCTTCTAGAGTTTCGATGGTGATGCGGTCTTTGGCGAAAGCCGGTTTAACTAAAAGTTGTATTTTATTTTTGAAACATCATTTCAGGAAATATTATGAACAAACTGTTTTCAATGATAACATTTTTCAATTTCAAGCAAAAAAACTGTTTAATAAGATATGAAAGATGTTTATAAACTTAATAATTTACAGCGTAAGTCATTATATTAAACTCTACTGATGTATATTGTTATGTTACGATTTAGAATTTTGAAACAGCGTGGAAAATTTTGGGATGTTTGGAAAAAAAGCCTAACCCATGCCGGTTATGTCGATGTATGCAGATTCGTGAACCACGCCAAACTTGTTGCTTGCTGTGCACGTGTACAGGCCTTCGTCAGCTTTCGTCATGGCTGTTCGTAACGGAAACAAGTTTTTGAATTTTCATTTTTTTAACCAAACAAATTTTAGAGCCAAATACAAACACATAAACACACACACACACACACACATAAACACACAAACCACACCAAACGTAAGTAAACACACAGACACATAAACACACACACATAAACACACAGGCATACATTTAACAGAAAGTCTTCCGTTTTCTGAAATACTGAATTTACCGCCAGCCTGAATGGCCACTTTGTTGTTATTCTGTGTCTTGGACCAGGTTATTTTTGGCTTGGGGGTGCCTTCGGCAACACAACTGAGTTCCATGTCTGTTAGAATGTGCACACCCTGACTTTTTGGGCCTTTTGTGATCCGCGGGCCCTCTGTGTTTTTGAGGCAAGTTAATGGTTTCAAGATAAGAATATAAATTTTACTTTAGTGTGCATGACTTTCCAGTTTTGTTATTTATCTTGTAATTATTTTCATGTAATTTTAAAAAGAGAGATCTTTGAAAAAATTTATTTGTGACAGTTTCAGTTCACGGACAATGAGGTTAACGTTAATGTTGTTGGAATAACCATATTGAAAAGTAAAATAAACACAACAAAAGTAACAACAACAAAAACGGAAACATCAACAACATCAACAACAAAAACGACAACCTCCAACATTCAGCTGAATAAATTGCGACACAGAACCGGCGATGCTTGTGGCCACACATTTATAAGAACCAACGTGTGACGTGCCGACGTTCGCCACAACCAGCTCGTAATCTTTGTTCGAGTGGTTATTCTCTATCTGTTTGTTTGTTTATTTTTTTAACTTTTATTTTCTTGTAAAATAATTTTTATTTTAAGTGAAATATTAAAAATTTAAAGATGAATCAAGATTTAGATAAAATATTCGCATTCGTATACGAAATTAATTAACTAAATAGTTTAAAAAAATATAAAAAAGGTTCCCAACCAGAACTCCATCTCTGAACCAGGTGACAGTTGGTTTGGGAGTTCCTTTAACGTTGCAAGTCATGACGGCATTGTCACCAAACTTCACCAGGACAACCGATGCCTCTACTGATATAGTTGGCACGGCTGAAATTTTGGCAAGGCAAATTTTGTAATAACAATTTGTTCATGTACTTACATCTATCTATTGTCTAAATAAGAATAAATAAAAATAAATAATAGATATCATTTGGAAAAAGCGGGAAATCTGAATACAAAATTTAATATTTAAATTATAAGAAAGTAAAAACTGACCACTATGAAGGAGAGTAGCAGTATCCGTGGCAGATCCCACTTCATTCGTGCCAACACAATCCCACGATCCTTCGTCTGATTGTGTTGGATGCAAGATGTGTAGAGAACCTTCGTTGCCAAGCTTGTATCTAGAGTCAATTATAGATTCAGGTTTACCTTATTGCAATATTTTATTCCCATACAAGTGGAATAAATGTATCAAATATGAAATTGTGGCAGTCATTTCTTACCTAATATTTTATTCCCATACATATGGAATAAATGTATCAAATATGAAATTGTAACGGTCATTTCTTACCTCTCGTCTCCATGGGTAATTTTTTCTCCATTTCTCTTCCAGTGAATGCTTGGATGAGGTTCCGACGAGGAAACGCATTTGATGGTCGCCTCCTTGTTCAGCACCATGAATTGACTTTTTGGTACTACCGTTACTTTGGGCTTTTCTGTTTTTGTCGTTCAATTTCAACAGTTTAATTTTGTTAATGTCTGCATCTTAATCAAAATGTAGCTATAATCACTCGTCATCTCATCATTCATTTATTATAAGATCAAATTTTTGCTACGTTATAAACATTAAACAATAAAAAAAAACTCTTGCTGAACTGAAACTGACATAGACTAATTTTATTGAAATCAAATTTTTTTTTTGATTGATTGCCCAAAATTTTCTAACTGAAAAATGAGAGGTATATGTGGGCCTCTGCATGTCCGCCTTCATTTGAAACTCTACAGACGTACTCACCTAAGTCCATTTCTGTCACTTTCCTTCGTTAAGCATTTTTTTCAGTATAGGTATTTTTTATAATATATGCTAAAACTTGAATAGTTATTACAAAAATATAGAAAGAATTAATAATTAGACAGATTTAAACAACAAACACATCCCAAATTATAAAGTAAAAAATTTGAATCTATGTGTCAAAAATTCTCATTAAAACTTAAAAGTATAGATCAACAAGTGGCATTACTTGACGATCAGAGATCCATTTGTAAGAATTTTGTGTCTCTGGTCGACATTCTTGTAGTTGAAACTCTCCTTATCTTTTTTGAACCACTTGAATGTGTAGACTCCGTTGAACTTAACCATGCACGTCAGAACGGCGTCACGACCGGGAATGGCGCTGACGTTCTTAACATTAACAATGTTTGGTAGTGGGTCTGGGTATTGAATTTTAAAATCTTTTGAAAATCTTCACTAAACTGGTTTTTTGATTAGTTTAAAGATGAGGCAGTTACAAGTTTGAATACCTGTTACAGTGAGGTCGGTGTTTTTAGAGTTTGTCCCGACGGAGTTGGAAGCTTTGCATGTGTACGTACCTTGAGAAGATTTCTGAACGTGTTTCAGTTCTGCTGTCACGTTTGAACTTTCGCTAAAAATTACATAAACGCATCAATGATATACCGATAAAATAAAAAATGTATCAGCGATGTATCACTGAGGAAGACAGATGACGATCGCCTAAACTTTTTCTTTAAAACTTTTCTTCAAAACCATCAGATAAGAGACAAATTTCTATTGTTACATAGAATATTCAAGGATAAAACTTTTAACTAACGTGTAGTCTGCCAGGTGTGAGACCTGTCTAGTTCCCTTGGACCAGGAGGCCTTGAAAGGAACGGCACTGCGTACGAGGCACGACAACACAACATTTTGACCGTAGACACCCTTCGATTTTTTGGCGAGGACGATGCGAGGAGGTTTCGGGTTGACCTGACTGATTGCGATGCTGCTACTTCGTAGGAATTTGTAACTCGAACCGTCAACACCTTCGATCTTGGGGATAGAATTTTTGAAAATAGTTTTCAGAACAATATCATTTTTAAATTCAAATAATTGAACCAACGCACTTTGATGAAGAAAAATTTGTTAGGTGGGTTGAAATTTTTGACGTAATATATAGCCGTGTTTGAGCTGTCTTGCTCAACTTCCTTTATGAATATAATTTCTCCAGTGTAGCCGACAAATGAAACTTGATTGACTCTGCCCGTCAGCTGAGTCGTCACGATGAGTAAGTTTGTAGGAGAGCCTTTGAAGGGTTATCAAGTTATTTCGATTATAATTATTTGAAACGTATATTTTCAAGCGCGTAAGATGTTTTAGCAACCTGTCATAGGCCTCGTGAATGTTTTAACCATGTTATTTGTTGCTTTCATTGAGAATCCGTAAGCGAAATTGAAATAACTCAATCCGGTGACTCTGATCGTGTGCTCGGACGAGGACTGCAGGATGAACTTCCACATCCCAGGCTTCGGATTTTTTATCGTCACAATCAACGCGTTCTCAAGGTTGAGCAATATTTTCAATTGAGTTAATTTCACGCCTTTGAATAATTTTTTCATTATTCAAAATAAAAAATGTATTTCCTATAGAAAATTAATGCTTGGAAACCACCTTGTGGATTGAAGGCATCGATTTTAGGCTTAGGTCCCGACACGGACACAGTGATCTCTTGCAATTTCTCGTCGACGGGGACTTCGAGATCCAATTTTTCTGCCTGCTTCTTGTTGATGGACACCAGATGAACTTTGGTTGACTGTAGTGCAACTCTCACAAAGTTCAGGACCTATGAAATTTTGATTATAAAAATAAAAAACAAACTTTTTTAAAACTGTTTTTAGCAAGTTTTTTATATTTTGCTATTTAATTAATTTTCTTACCAAATTAACTTCAGCTTTTTCAAGTCTGAAAATTTGTCCAGAACTCGCAGCGGCAATTCTTTCGTAGGCCACGTAGCCTGGCTCCGTACGATTGCCACAATCTCCAGTTAATATAAATACCACCTAGCAAATAAAGGAATAATAATTTTTTATTCAATCAACAAAAAATATTCATCGCACCTGGCTCTGTTTTTCTTGAATCAAACTCAAAACTTCATCAGTTAGATGGTAATCCTTGGCCGAAGCATCAGTGAAAACGTAGATGAAGGAGAAGGGTAGTGCTTTCTCTAGGGCGAGTTTGATGCCAGACAGACTCATCTCAGGGCAGTCCCCACCACCTTGCACATAAAGTTCGCGCAGAACGCTCTGAAATTTTTCTGGATCGCGTGTTATTGTCACAGGACCGACCTCTTCAAAAATTTTAAATAAAATTACGTCGACACAGAGTTAAAATTTCAACGCTAACTCATTTATATTGAAAATTTTAAAACTGAAAAAAGATTATTTTAAAAACCTGGATCCTGAAAAGGTACGAGAATGTAATTATGGAGAGGTTTATCTTTCTGCTGAAGCGTTGTTGCCAAAATTTTTGCAGCGCCTTCAATTGCTTGCGCCAGATCGACAGACATGGAGCCAGTGATGTCAAAAACGAACGCAAGTGAGGCTGATCCATGCCTTACTTCACTTTTTTGCGTCAAGAAAGCTAGAGCAGCATCTTCGGCATTTTCACTTTCTTCGACATATTCCCCTTTAATTTCAATTCCTTGGATGGGGCCCTGTACCTCGTTGTTTTCTGCGACGTGTTGCTCCCGATACTGAGACTCCCCTAACGAGCCATGCTGACGATGACTCATTTGACTGTAACCCTCTTGTTCATTTGAAAGGGAACTGAAGATGAAGCAGCTTGACAGTGTGTAAAGCATCAACAAGCTTCGCCGAATGAAGCGTTGCTGAGACATGGGACTGTCTCAGGTTGTTGCAGATTTACAATGTTTTTCAACTTAATCAATCCTTCTTATTTGGTAAATATTTAATATTAAAATATTTTATTTTATAGTTAATAACGTTTAATGAAAAAAATAATACAATTTTTAAAAACGCGGATCGACTTTGAATAATATCTAAATAAGTCAAACAGACATTAAATATAAAGCCTGAAAAGCGCCGACGCACACACCGCCGACCTGCCTACCTGCCTACCTACGTAACTTCATACTAAGAAACCCAATCAATTATGAAAACCACATCCGCTCGCTCGTCCAAGCATGCAACAGATATATTTTCATCATCATCTTTTTTCTCATCATCTTCATCTTCAATATTTTCTTTACTAACTCGCCTATTATAATTGCAAATTTCCATGGACGTTCTAACCTATGTTTTTATGTACACGTAAATATATGCACACAGTCACACACACACACACACACACACACACACATATATATATATATATATATATATATATATATATATATATATATACACACCAACACATATATTTAATATTATATATGAAATATCATTGTGCCATATCTATTTATTGCTTGAAATTCGTTTGTTTTTTGAAGCATCTAATTAGAATATTTAACTTCTGAAGGGGATCTCAGTAAAAAATTATTGACCTTTTACACGCTCAGCAACATGACCTCTGACAACGACGTTAAAAACACGTACACGCACATGCTCACACACACACACAGACTTACACACACTTAAACACAAACACACTCACAGACATACAAATGTAGATTGAGATATACAAAGAGTTGCGACTTTTGTAACAAACAGTTTGACGGCTTGTTGCTAGTTAATGGTAATTTGGACCGGTAACATTTTTGGTTCTGTCTTTTAAAATGCTGTGTGATGAACACATGAGGTAGTTGATTCATTCACCATAACATAGAACGTTCAACATAATCAAAACCGGTTTTACTCTCGGAAAACTCACATCTCGTTTTAACAAGACTTTAATTATTATTCAAATTCTGAGAAACTAATGAGATTAACTGTATGTGAAGTTAAAATTTAAGTACATTAAAGAATACTGACGAGGTACGTTAATGAGGTACGTGTTGCGTTTATCTATTTGATTCACGAAATTTCATATTTTTATTGTATGTATCTACGTATGTATGGATACAATATGTATCTACTTAATGTATCTAAGCATGTATCTATGTATGTGCTTGCGTGTAGGTACACCGATAATGTTGTTGGTAGACATCTGCAGGCAGACATAGATCTCTCGATCTAACCTCAAATTTGAATATATTCGTTTGATTCGATATTTCAAATTCAGAAGACTGGCTATGACTGGCTATTTTTTTTGTTCTCTCTCTCTCTCTCTCTCTCTCTCTCTCTCTCTCTCTCTCTGTCTGGTATGTTGGCATTTATTCTAATAATAATTCTCCTTACACGAATTTTAAAATGAGCAAAGTATATGATGCCTAAAATACGTTTCTACTTCTTTTCACTTCGAAACATCAACGATTAAAGATAATTTTGTCAATAAATAAATGAAAATAAGTAATATATTTATATTTTTTAAATATATTTTTCTATAATTAAAAAAGTAATTTTCAAAAATAACACGTATATGCCAACCTTTGAGCGTTGATACCTATATAATATAATATAATACAATCATACACACATAATATAAATGCTACATATATTTGTCTTATTTACAGATAAAGAATTTTTAAAATTTTATACAAGAAATATTTCTGCAAAGGCATTTAAAACTCAGTAGTGAAGCACGAACGAAATATGATTTATGGGTTCATTTCAACGTAAAACCCAACATTTTCATCATCTGCCAGTCAGTCAAACTCGGGAGCATCACTAGAGCGATACTACGTACCATACCTAGGTAATACTCACAATACCTACGTAATACCCACCATACCGATATTTTGTCATATACAAAAACCCTTTTTTATATAAACAATAACATAAACATTTTCTGTTAAAAAAGAGAAATTAAGCTACATAAACAATATAAACAATATGAAGATTGTATGATATATATAAACCTGAATGTTGAAGCAGTATTATGTGTATGTTGATATAGATCAGACGTTTAAAGTTAATGTGCGTATAAATATATAATAATAACAACCTACACACACACACAGACACACACGCACGCACACACGTACACACGCACGCACGCACATACAAAGAGTTCTCTATCCAAACGCTAATCACCAACATTCTTATTCTTGGAATTTTGATGATTTCTCGTTAAACACACTGGCTAGAGCGAGTGATCTGTCAATGAACCAACGTTCTAATCTTTTCTCAATTGAGATTTCGTTGTTTTCAAATTTGATATTTCTAAATTACACCGCCTCGAGATTTGTTACTGATTGTGGAAAATAGTATTTGTAGCACCCACTAAGTTTCATTCATTCACTCATTCATTCATTTGTCCATTCTTTCATTCATTCACAATTCATCCGTCCATTCATTTATTTATTTACATTTTTTCAGATTTCAAAATTTTCGTTTCGTGCATAGAGATACCAAATTATTTTCTTAAGGATAAGCAATTTGTAATGTAGCTAATGGTGTAGCTAATTTTTGTTTGAAACATCTAAGATTAGTTGTTTTTAAAGATACTTATAATTAGTTCTCAAAATTTAAAGTGAAATAAAAGGCTAAATAATATAAAACAAATTTATTTTTCTAATAAAAATATCAGTCGAAAGTTATTTTTAAAGATTTGACGGTAACACCTTACGGCTAGGTATAATGTTTTCACTTCTTAACAAATTTTATACCGTCAACTACAAATGTAACGACAAATATAAATAAAGTTTTTACATTTTCATTTATCCATTAATTAATTAATTAATCCATTCATACATCCACTTATTAACTCATTCATTTATTCATCGACCCATCCATCCAACCATCTATTCATTCATTCATTCATTCATTCATCAATTCATTCATCAATTCACCAATCAACTAAAAGTATATTTAGATACATGAATGAATAGTGTGAATCTAGTTTGGAATTTGACATCAGGGAACATGGGATCGATGGATTTTGATTCGACTTTTAGTTTATATTCCCTGGGTTCCATCAACGTCTGCTTACTGTACACCACTCCAACACCTTTGAAAATTTTACAAATTATTTTCTTTTAATTTTTTCTTTAAAATTTCAAAATTTGACAGTAAACTACTGAGCACAATTTCTTATTTGCCGTGTTTTATTGTGATTCATTGACATCATCACTTGGCCATTCCTTCATTTGTTTGTTAGTTCATCATCAGTTTTAAAAAAAGACAACAAATTTCATACCGTTCTCAACTCTGATGTTAAAATGACGCGATGCAGTATCTTTGGAGGTGATGTTGAATGACGTCAGCCCCAAACGCAGGCCATCTTGATTGTTGACCGTCAATCTTATTATGCCCGAGCCGTTTGCGAAGTTGAGTGGCAGTGAGATTAGGTGGAATTGTAAGGTGTGGGGGCTTGAACATTCGTCGCAGTTTAACATGCAGAATCTGTGCGTACGTACGTGCGTGTGTGTGTGCGTGTGTGTGTGTGGTTGCGTGTGTGTGTGCAGTATCCGTATGAAATGCATCTCACAGCAAAGTAGCTGAATCAATGTGCTGTATATGCATACGTTACAAATTTTATGACGGGATCGAAGCACGGCACACAAACTTTGAACTGGGATCGAAGAAGTATTTGGGAGGACAGGATAGCTCGATGCATTCGTGCCCGCCTAACTTGTTGAAACATTGCTTGTCCGGATCGCAGGCCATGCTGTGCTCCTTACATTCGTTTATGTCTTTTGGAATGGTGAATGAGATATTTTCATGTAATAGGACAATTAAAATATAATTAGACAACATTTGTATTGAGTAGCAACAATATTTTTCAGTTGAAAAAAAATGGAAGCACTCAGCATAATCTATTCCAGTTTAGATTAGAACCCAAATGCTTCTTTCAATGTTTAAAGAAATGCTTAGCT